CTGTAGACGCTGTAAGGATCGTTTCATCAACTATGGAACATTTGAGGATGAATTTAACTTGATAACGTCTCTCAGACTTTGTCTGTTTATAGAACCAATTCGTCGACCACAAGCTTGACTAAATCTTATAAATAAACCTATCCAAAAAGTACATTCCGTTTTCTTTCTAATTTGGCACAAGTATAGAAGTACAAAAAATATTTAGGTCATACTTTTTCATTATGACCCACATTAAGTTTGACGAGCAGTTTATAGTTTTTCGTTTGATGTTCTCACTCCTATCATCGATAAGAAAAATACATAAGAAATAAAATTGAATACAAGATATAGTTAAATAATTTTAACAAAATCGACACAGCTGAGATACGAACCATTCTAAATTTCCTTAGCCAAGATTCCAACCGAGATATCTTAAATCTATGCTAAATTAGTCAAAAATGGTTCGAATCTCAGTCAAACCGAGAAATCGGGAAAATTTTAATTAAAATTTTAACAAAATCGGTATAGCTGAGATACGAATCATTCTAAATTTCTTTAGCTAACCGAAGATTCCAATCGAAATATTTCAAATCTGCGTTAAATTAGTCAAAAATGATTCGAATCTCGGCCAAACTGAAAAATTATTTTTTATAAATAATTATTAAATAATTATAAATAATTATAAATAGTATAAATAATTTTTTTCAACTTTGTACATGTTTTATATAAACATTTTATTATTTATACAAATAATTTTACACATTTGACTTCATATTCGTAATCAGCAAACCAAAAACGCTTATATCTTATTTAATTTTATTTCTTATGCATTGTTGTTGCACTTGTTGATAATAGAAGTGAGAACATTAAAAAGTTATAAACTGCCCGTAAAACTCAAAGCGGGCCAAATTGAAAAAATATGATCTAAATAGTTTTTGTATTTCTACATTTGTACCAAATTAGAAAGAAATCGGAATGTAACTTTTAAGTAGGTTTATTTATTGGATAGGTTAAACGGAGAGAATTTTATAGCCGAGGAATCGGTCGACATTCTGCAGTAATTGACTGTCTTTTTATTTCATATGTGCTATTTATAAATTTCAATAACTGAAGTGCTGCTTAAAAAATTTGTCTGACGCTATTGCGTAAAAGAATACAAGATAGTCTGCAGAAACGGCTTCTCAGATAAACGACGATAGCGAACATATTAGGCATCTTCGATGAATCGTCGTGTGATAAATACGTAGACCTCTGCGCGCCTTAAAATTTGCCGATGAATATCTCACCGTAAGATCGACACAGAGTATCGTCCGTGGAATTGAAACGCCCGGATTTCGCGACGGATGTGGAAACGCGCGGCGATATTCATGTAAAATACCATCGCACAGGGGAAGAAGACGTGGAGGGAATGCATCAGATTTTGACGGGCAAACAAAATGCAAAGTGGCTGCACTTTTAACAAATAATATGCATAAATTTACATACTGCGTGCACGTAAGAGTGTAGAAATCTTGAATGCAACCCTCGCGAAAAATGAAACCACCGGGAGCTTCGCGAAGCTTCCGTGGAGTGCACACGCGAGATAGTGCATACCGCGTCGATTCATGTTAAAGCTCGACGTGTCGTCTAATCCGGCTTCGCTCGAGATATACAAAGTGCGCGAAAATTTTTCACCGATGGACTTGTCAGATGAAAATTAACCCTCTGCACACAATGTTGGACCTGAGACCCGAACAAATATTCGATCAATGGTCAAACCTCGCAGAGTCTGAGAAAATTCCAAAATAGCGCAATTGTTCGCAGATTTTTATTTCATTGCGCTATTATCTAATAGCTGAAGCTTTTCTACATTTCTGCAAACAAAAAGTTCCAAGACTGTCGTTTAATAACAAAAAGAAACAACAAGTTTCAAAAGTATCCAAAAATATTGATTTTCAACCAAGTTAGAGCGGTTCTTTCAAAGTCCTGACAGATTGTGCTGCAGATTGTCCCAAGAAACATGATTGCACACGCGGAGAATTAATACTTCCACTCTTTACGTAATTTTGTCGATAAAACACATTCTCTCTCTCTCTCTCTCTCTCTCTCTCTCTCTCTCTCTCTC